GGTTAGTTTTACCCTACTGATGACAGTGTCGCAATAGTAATTCAACCTAGTACGAGAGGAACCGTTGATTCGCACAATTGGTCATCGCGCTTGGTTGAAAAGCCAGTGGCGCGAAGCTACCGTGCGTTGGATTATGACTGAACGCCTCTAAGTCAGAATCCGGGCTAGAAACGACGCGTGTGTCCGCCGTCCGCTTGCCGACCCGCAGTAGGGGCCTTATGGTCCCCAAAGGCACGTGCCGTTGGATTAGCCCCCGCGGCGGATGAGCCGCGTGGGCTGCCATGAAGTACAATTCCCGCTGGACGGCGGGTAGAATCCTTTGCAGACGACTTAAATACGCGACAGGGTATTGTAAGTGGCAGAGTGGCCTTGCTGCCACGATCCACTGAGATTCAGCCCTTCGTCGCTCCGATTCGTCCCTCCCCCTCAAATCATTGTAAAATCACGAAACGAGGTTAACCGAGTAGATTGACAATTTTTTGCCTAAGTATGAACGAGTTTGGGGGTGGGTGCCTCGAAGGTTAAGTTGGGCGTGGAGTTGGGTGCCTCAAATATTAAGTTGGGGCGTGTGGAGTTGGTGCCACGAGTGTGTGCGCTCCATGAAATGAGGTTAAGTTGGGGCGTGTGGAGTTGGTGCCACGAGTGTGTGCGCTCCATGAAATGAGGTTAAGTTTGGGCGTGTGGAGTTGGTGCCATGAGTGTGTGCGCTCCGTGAAATGAGGTTAAGTATGGACGTGGAGTTGGAGCCTCGTAGGTTAAGTATGGAAATGAGGAGGTTAAGTATGGACGTGGAGTTGGAGCCTCATAGGTCGAGTATGGAAATGAGGTTAAGTATGGACGTGGAGTTTTGGTGCCCCGAGTGTGTGCGCTCCATGAAGGAGAGGTTAAGTTTTGGGCTTGTGGTGCCTTGGGTGTGCGCGCTCCATGAAGGAAAGGTTAAGTTTGGGCTTGTGGTGCCTTGGGTGTGTGCGCTACATGAAGGAAAGAAGGTTAAGTATGGTGCCTTGGGTGTGTGCGCTACATGAAGGAAAGGAGGTTAAGTGTGGTGCCTTGGGTGTGTGCGCTACATGAAGGAAAGGAGGTTAAGTGTGGTGCCTTGTGTGTGCGCGCCATGAAGGAAAGGTTAAGTGTGGTGCCTTGTGTGTGCGCGCCATGAAGGAAAGGTTAAGTTTGGGCCTTTGGTGCATCCATCATTGGGTGTGTGCGCTCCATGAAGGAAAATGTTAAATTTGGGCTGCCACGGATGTGTGTGCTCCCATGAAACGAGGTTAAATTCTCTAAAGTTTATCAAATTCTTGAGAAAGCTAGCCAACGGACCCTCCGGTGCCCGACAACGACCATTTTTCGGACCATCTCGAAATGTGCTAGTGCTAATCTCGATTTTTTGGTTCCTAAATGGGAATGTTCTTGCTTAAGCTGGCCCAGAACAAGTTTCAACGAAATCCGACGCATTTTCTATTTTATACGACTTTTTTCATGGTTTTCCGGGCTTCCGCGACCCGTCGGGACGTGTATTTGGGGATACCAAGACGCCAATCCAATGCAAAAACACGTTTTCCTTCATCTGGTCGAGACAAAAAGTGCAAAATTCTCGTCAATTTTGAAAATGCTCGAGCGAGTTGGCCGACGGGCCTGTCGGCAGGCACCAAAACTCCCGTCCTCGAACATTCTCAAAATCCGCTCGTGCGAATCTCGATTTTTGGATTCCCAGATGCACGAAAACACATTTTCTTTCAACTGGTCGAGACAGAAAATGAGAATTTCTCTTCGATTTCGAAAATGCTCGAGAAAGTTCGCCAACGGGCC